CCGCCCCCCAGCCCCCCGCCCGTTCCCCGCGTGGGCGTCCTGCGAGAAACTTCCGTGGCCCTTCCGCCTCGGGGGGAAAAAAAGTCACGTGGTTTTATTACTGGTTCTTTTCCACTTGATGACAGGTCAGAAACATATTTTCATAGTAATAGGTTCTTTTACCACTTTTTGGTTATGGTAAAAACATTAAGTTGACCATCTTAGTCACTTTTAAGAATACTGTGAAGTGGAATATTATTCACATTGTTATGCAACAGATCGCCAGGACTTTCTCATCTTGCAGCACCGAAACTCAATACCCACTGAACACTAATCCCCCTCCCTCAGCCCTTGGTATACCTTTCCACTTTCTGTATCTATGATTTTAACTACTTCAGATATTTGGAAAAGTGAGATCATATGGTATTTGTCTTTTAGGACTCTCATTTCCCTTAGCATAACGCCCTCAAGGACATTATAATCCATTTGTAGTCTGTGGCAGGATTTCCTTCTGTTTTTGAAGCTGCATAATATTCCATTGTCAGGCTATCCCCCTTTTTTGTTTGAATCTCCAAGATCCTGCTTTGAATTCTTTTGCATATACACCCAGAAGTGAGATTGCTGGATCACATATAGTAGTTTTGTTTTCCATACTTGCTGCACCATTTACATTCCCATCAACAGTGCGTAATGGTTCCAACCCCTCAGCATCCTCACCAGCACTTCCTTTCTGTTCTTTTGGTGATAGGGGCCATCCTGATAGGTATGAGTTGCCTGCTTTTTAAGTGTCCTATTGGCTCCCATCCTGTTATCCAGGCCTCATTCCGACCCCTGCAGATGTATCGCCCAACTCTCCTCCTTCACCATTTATTCTTCAATTAAATTCTTACTCGTTGAGCACCTGTATGTACTGAGGGTCTAACAAGACAGAGAAGACCCTTACAACCATCATACATTTCTGTTTTGGGGGGAGGGGTGGATCACAAGCTAGTAAATAAGACTTGTCCAGTAACAATTAGGGGTACGTAGAAGATAAATATGGTGATGTGATAGAGTTGAGTAGGGAGCTCCATTAGAATGGGGGGGTCAAGGACAGCTTTGAAGAGGTGACATTTGAGGTGACGTCTGAAGGATGAGAAGAAGCCAGGTGCACAAAGTTTTGGGTGCTGAGCATTTCAGGTGGAGGGAACTGTAATTACAGGCATACACCCTCTTATTGTATTTCACAGATGTTGTGATTTTTTTACAAGTGGAAGACAAGATCCTCCACCAACAAAAAGATTACTCCTTGCTTTATTGTGGTGGTCTGGAGATGAACCCACAGTATCGCTGAGGTATGCCTGTACAAAGGCACCTAGGCGAAGAAGCATGGTGTGTGTCCCAGGAGCCAAAGCCTACTGAGCTGGTGGAGGGAGAAGTAAGGTGAGGTCAGTTGGACAGGCAGAACCTTATTGTGTAGACATTTTACGCAATAGGTCATGGTAAGGAGTTTGGGTTTTATTCAGAGTTTTAAACAGAGGAGTAGCATATTCTTACGAGTTCTCCTAGACTCCAGCTCATGTCAACAGCCCTTTGCCCCAAACCTCTTCTCCCAGGTGTCTTTCCAAGGAGCCCTCATTGGAACCCCTTTTCTGTAGTACCGATTTCCCTTTGCCTTTTCTCTTATTTTTTTAGCTAGCATTATTGAGTGATTTACTGTGTGGCAGACATTATCCCTTTATATCTTTATACTAACCTATGACTAAGACACTTTATATTCTTCCTCGGCACCTCCTATGGAGGTTACAGCCATCTCCTACTCCGCACAGACCCCCTGTGAAACCCAAGACCGTCAAAAAGAGGATCAAGAAGTTAATCCGACACCAGTCAGACCAATTATGTCAAAATTAAGCAGAACTGGAAGAAACCCAGAGGCACTAATGGACAGTAGAGTGTGCAGAAGGTTCAAGGGCCAGACCTTGATGCCCAGCATTGGTTATGGAAGCAACAAGAAATCAAAGCACATGCTGCCCAGTGGATTTTGGAATTTCTGGTCCACAATGTCAAGGAGCTTGAAGTGCTGCTGATGTGCAGCAAATCTTACTGCGCTGAGATTGCTCACAACGTCTCCTCAAAGAACCATAAACCCATTGTGGGAAAGCAGCCCAGCTGCCAATCCCCATGCCAGACTGCTCAGCAAAGAAAATGAGTAGACAGATGTGTACACATTGTATTTGTGTTAATAAAACCATACAATTCTGCCATCTGGCAATAAAAAATTTTAAAAAGTAACTTTATAGATGAGGAGCCCAGAAGAGTTAAATTGCCTGCCCCAGGATTATACAATGAAGACATGTCATAGGCAGGATTTTCATATGGGTCTATCTGATTCCCAAGTCCAAGTTTTTAATCATTTTACTAGACTTCTCCCCAAATCCTTTGCAAATTGTAGTCCTTTATTTTGTTTGAACTTCTGCAGTTTCAAACCACTCATGCCCCCTTCTTTTGTTCTAGAACACTCCTTTTTAGGCCCACCTGCTCCTCTCAGCCTCACTTGAGATCGCTGAATAATCTGAGATACTGATACTTACGCCATTTTCTTTCATCCTACCCTACCCTGCCTGGAATAGCATGTGCTTTTGTATGACTTCATTCTGGGTCCCTAGAAGAGCTGGCATGGTGTATAGATTTAGTAGGGGATCAGAGTCTGGTTCTTACCCCATTTCTAGATAATCTATGGGCAAATCCCTTGATTTCTCTAGTTTTTCTGTTTGAAAAGAAAACCAGGGATCAACCTAACACAGTGAACCCTTCCAGCAAGTGTGTGAAGTGAGCTCATATCAGAGGGAGTGAGTGACTTGTGCAGTATCACAGGCTGGATTGCAGGTTCTGATGCCCTTGCCACCACACCACTGCTGCTTCTGAGCACCCATGTTCTGGGGACTTGAGATGGATTATAGGTCTTGAGTGCTTGTACGTGCTCCTTAAGGGCAAGGATATATTTTACTTATCTCTGTACACTGCTGTCTCATTCAGGGCCTGGAAAAATAGGAAAAAACTTATTTGTTATTGTTGGTATTAAGTGGAAGATATGCATCAATATGGTAACATAATTAGAGAAAAAGCAAGTTGCATAAGGATAGACAATAGAGTGCCACTTAGGAAAAGCTTTGAAAGACATAAAATATCTTAGCTGTTATTATATAGATAATAAAGATAGACAAACATGGGTGAGAATGTTACATACCGACTTCAGGATTGTGCTGACACCTAGGGTTCTGGGGACAGTACAGAGGGGAAAGGATGGGGATGAGTGGAGCGTTAGCCATATAAAAAAATTTTAAAGGTTGGAAACATATGCTGGGTCTAGTGATGGATACTGAGTATCTGTTATACTGTTTTCTGTATGTTTTACAATTTTTAAAAGAGAACTTGTTTTCATTTATTTTGGGTATATACCTGGGAGTGGAATTACTGGGTCTTCACATAATAGTTTCCTTTTTATTTTTTTTTTCCACTGTGGTCCATGCTAGTTAGTGGGTATGCAGTGGATGAAAAAATACTTTTAAAACTGAAAATTATTGTGGCCACAGTAAAGGACATGAGTTCTGAGATTCCTGAAGGTGAGGGCTGCCCCTAGAGAAACGTCTGATAAATCTCCCCGTTGGGGAGCTTGAGTCCTTCCCCGATTAAGTTCTCCCTAGTCCTGCCAGACCCAGGGGCTTTTCCCCTAGCAAAGTCCTGTCTGATCTGAGCAGGTAGAATTAGTCTGTCTTTTATCTTTTCCTTTTATTTTTCTTTGTATGATTTACATGTTTTCTTTTTTGGGTGGTGGAACCATGGCTTTATTAAATTTATTGGGGTGGCATTGGTCAACATGAACATACAGGTTTCAGGTGTGGATTTCCATGTCGTAAGATCTGTATGTTTACATGTCTTTTGTAATAAAATTAACACACACACACCAGTATAGATTTCTCTGAGGCAGAAGCTAGCTATCTCATGTTCATTTTTTGCCTGGTACCAAGTTTAGTGCTGGCATGAGTGAATAAGATGCTTGGTGTTCTCGCTGCCAAGTGCAAATGGTGAACTTGCCAGCCTATCAGACCAGCAAGCCTGATCAGGTTACAGTCATTTCTGTTCCCTTTTACCAAAGCCCGGAGAGCTCAGTGTGTGAAATGCACTTTGTGTCCCTAGGCATCCATTTCCCAAATTGTTAATCTCATGTTTTCTGTTTCCTGGGCAGGTTCTTCGGACTATAAAGAAGAAAGTGTTCTCTACTCCAACCGAGCAGCATGCCACTTGAAGGATGGGAACTGCAGAGATTGCATCAAAGATTGTACTTCGTAAGCAGTCAAGGGAAACTTTGGGGTGCCTGAGGGGCTCAGAAGAGGAAGCGGGGTTCATCTGGCCTGTTTCTTCTTTGACTGATCCTGCCAGTTACATCTGTGATAGATACTAGGAAGTGTTACTGTCCCCAGGTCACTGAGAATATTTGATCTCTGTGGCCCCTGTCTTGTATCTTTGAAGTCTTGGCTCTGCTGCTCTAAAAGGAGTAGGGTGGGCACTTACAGGTGGGCCTTTGTGAGATTTGGGATCTGGAGTTGAGGCAGAGTTGTAGACTAGTTAGTGGCTTGCCCAGGTTTATTCTGGGATGGATATATGTGAGAGAAGAAGGTAGAGAGAGATAGAGAGAGGTTAATAGATAGCTGGGAAAGAAGCAAGAAGAAAGGAGAAAATGGTATTCATCAATGACCAGGTGTAGAGGACATTAAACAATTTTTTCATACTTCTTTCTTGTTCAGGCAAATCTGGTGTTGCCTCTTTCACCATCGCTAAACTAGGATGCATACCTTAATGTGTTCTTAGATCTGATATCCTGTGACATTGCCTTAGATCCATGCCCTGGTGATAGATGAGAGAGGTGAGCGTGCTCATGTAGCCTGTGCTAAGTTGATTAGTATCAGGTCCTGTGCTAAGTTTCCTCCTTAGAGCACTTATGGTCATTCTGTGGGTTAAATTTACCATCCTTCCCAGGCTAGAACTGGGCTGCAGAGAATTGAGGTGGTAAAGTGATTTGCCTGGGATCACATGGTTAATGGAAGAGGTAGAATTCAAACACCACTCCACCTGACTCCAAAGGCTCTGTGGTCTTTCCATCAGGCCACCATTCTTTGGAAACACACAGAGGCATGAAAGGTACAAAGTACTTGTTCTTGTTCTTGATTTTGGGGGGATTGCAGCTATGAAAATTGATGCACATGCATACAGCTTTCACAGTATCAGTGGCAGTCTGCTCACTTTCCTTTCTCTACTTCAGTCTAAGTTGAAAAGTCCCTCTTGTAAGGTTTGACATTTTTAGTAGTGTCTCTGCCAGAAATGACCCCCTATGTTACAGAATACTGTAGCTGGGCCTGCCTGGGTGGGCTGTGGGGGGAGCCCTGTGACTTAGCAGCCGGATGACATCTCTGCCTCCTGCTCTAGAGCACTGGCCTTGGTTCCCTTCAGCATGAAGCCCTTGCTGCGGCGAGCTTCGGCCTATGAGGCTCTGGAGAAGTATCCCCTGGCCTACGTGGACTACAAGACTGTGCTGCAAATTGATGACAGTGTGACGTCAGCCTTGGAAGGCGTCAACAGGTGAGCCTGGGTCACCTCAGGCATTTCCTCTGGAGCTGCGGGCCCTCTGTCGTTAGCTTGGAACTGTCACTTTGCTCATCTTACAGGATCCCTTTGGGATAAGCTTAGAAATTCCTCATGACCTTATTGGGAAGTGTGGAAGGAGAATTTGCTGTCATATTTGGTAGGTGTTAAGGAGTCAGGATTGATGAATTGGATTTTGTTTTGTTTGCTTTTGCCTAGGTGCTTAAATTCATTCACATAGTAGTAATTTGTTGAGCTCTGTTGAAGGTGTTGTGCCAGGTTCCGCAGGAAAAAGAGATACAAACACCACTTGCTTCAAAGAGCTAACTAGAGTGGGGAAAGTAAGACCCAAGCACAGGCAGCTCAGACACAAGGCTATAGGGATATTGCTTGTGGATATGGTTCAATATATTGTACTATGGCCCCTTCACAAGGCCTCTCAGCCATTGACATTTCATGGATGTCCTCATTGGCATGGTTGATCACGTTGCCCTTCTTTGCATGGGCTGCTAGAAAGCCAGATACCACACATAGAAAACCCTTTTTAGGACTTCCTGGTGTATATCTATGTGTCATGTCTGGCTTGACTTGTTTTCTCTCTACCTTTTCTTGTTTCTATCATTCAACAAATTCTGCCACTTGTGTGCCAGACTTTACACTAGGGCCTGGGCTGATGCCCAAGACATACCTCTTCCTGCCCGGTTAGAGCTCCTGGTCTCATGGAGAAAACCTATCAGTAATAGGCAAGCACACTACAAGGGATGAGGCAGCACAGGTGCAGTAGGAGCAGAAATGAGGCACCTAGCCAGCCAGGGGGAGGCCAGAGTGGGTTTCCAGAGGAGGTGAGCTGAGGCAGAGATGAGTAGAGCTCTGGGGCCAAAGGCGGGCAAGGAGAAAGGGCAGCCTGTGCAAGAGTGAGTGAGTGTGATGTCCTATAGAACCCGTGAGAAGTCCATTTCACATGGTGCTGCGCGGATGGGTGATGAGGCCAGGTCACAAAGAGCTTGGTGTTCCGGAGCTTGGACTTAACCCGAACACAGTGAGGCATCGTGAAAGGGCCTTAAGCAGGGGAGCAGGTTTGAGAGAGAAGCTCACTGGCTGTCATGTGGAAGGATTACATGGAAGAACAGACTGGGAAGGGGGCATGCACTAATGCAGAAGAGATGGTGGAGGCAGTGGATAGAGAGCAGTGAGACCATTCAGAGGACATTTAGGGAGTATTTCACCAAGTTTTGGTGGTTGGGGTGGTGAGAAGGGAAAAATAGAAGAGACAGTAGGGCAGTGATGGTGAACCTATGACACGCGTATCAGAGGTGGCATGCGAACTCATTTTTTTGGTTGATTTTTCTTTGTTAAATGGCATTTAAATATATAAAATAAATATCAAAAATACATCTTTGTTTTACTATGGTTGCAAATATCAAAAAATTTCTATATGTGACACGGCACCAGAATTAAGTTCGGGTTTTTCAAAATGCTGACACGCTGAGCTCAAAGGGTTTGCCATCACTGCACTAGGGGGTTGACAAGTTGAGTTGGAGATGATTGTGGGACATGAGACTAGAGAGGTAAGGCAGGCAGTGGGTGTTTATATGGATTTGGAGCCAAGGAGAAAAATACCACACATACAGGTTTGAGACCAGTGTAGAGGTGAATTGAGGTTGTCAGGGAAAAGAACACAGCAAGTATGTAGGAAGAAGAGGTTGGAGCTTTGAGAAATTCTTGCGTTTCAGGGACTTACAGAAGAATAGCAGCTGGAGGAGTGGGAGGAAACTTGAAGCATTAAGTGTCACAAGGGAAGGGTATTTCCAGAGAATGAAGCTGTCACTCGTGTCAGGTGTTTCAGTGAGCTTAAGTAGACGAAGGGCTGAGGAATGAAGTCACTGGTGATTCTAGTAGAAGTGTTTCAAAGGGATCAGATGGCAGTGGGTTCAAGAAGTCTAGCTGTGAGGTGGCAGAGGAGTGTAGCTGCAATGGCAGAGGGCTGTCCAGGGGGGTTGTATTAAGTGAGGAAAGAGTTAAATGCTGGTAGTTGGAGTCAGCAGAAAGAAACGTGAAGATACAGAAGAGGGAGATGCTGGCTGAGTGTGGCAGGAAGAAATGGGGTCCAGAGCTTAGGTGGAGGGATTGGCCTTGTCAGCTCTTCTATTGTGACAAGAGAGACATAGGAAGGTTGGGTACCTGGGCAGGTATGTTTGCTCCCTAACCCTCCCCCTCCAAATACAGAGTGGAAGAGATGAGAGGATTAAAGTAGCTGCTGAACAAAAAAATAGAGACCATGAATTTGCAGTGATATCATTGTATTGTTTTCATCCTAGTATTACAGGAATGTGGTTGTAAAAGCAGAAAAGGCATACAGTTGGCTTTATTCACTCATTGAACATATACTTATTAAATCTTGATGGGTGCCAGGTAATGATGTGCTAGGTGCTATAGTACAGTTGACAAATTGGACATGGTCACTGAGCAGCATTTTGAGCAAGTTAACTGGCCTAGAAGGTGGGTATGGGGACTGGGAAGTGGAAGAGATTGTTCCAGGAAGAGGACAGCCCTGTGCAGAAGCTTAAACATAAGGATCAAGAGGGAATGTGGCACCCTAGTTGGTTTGGCTCAGTGGATAGAGCCTTGGCCTGCGGACTGAAGGGTCCCAGGTTCAATTCCCATAAAGGGCAGGTCGATACCCAGTAGGGGGCGTACAGGAGATAGCCAATCAATGATTCTCTCTCATCATTGATGTTTCTCTCCCACTCCCTCTCTAAGATCAATAAAAAAATATTTTTTGGTTTTTTTTGAAGAGGGAATGTGGCAACTAATAAAG